AGCATAGCGTGACTATTGAGTGAACATGTCATGATACTCACATATCGACATTGACCCTTGCTTTAGGGCCCTGAACTCCTCCTGCTTGAGCTCTATCAATTCTGCATGAATGTGGTACGACCTGAAATTCTCCTTGAATTCCTGCCAGGTGATAGCAGGAGCATTGTTGGGAAGCCCATACTCAAATGACTCCCACCAGTCCTGGGTAGTTCCTTGCAGTTGACTAGAAGCATAACGCACCTTCTCATGATCATTACACTGGGCTATGTTAAGTTGTCACTCCATAGCTCTAAGCCAGTCATCAGCTTCTAGTGGGTCGCTTGTATGAGAGAATGTCGGTGGGTGTCCCTTTATAAATTCACCACGCTTATCATTGGATGGTGCTTGATGCGGATTGTTCAGCACATTTTGAATGAAAGTTTGTAATAGTTGAGTCTACATCATCAAAGCTTGCTCTATAGTTGGAGGATTTGTAAGATGAAGTTTTTTACATTCTAGCGCTTCATTTGGAAGTATCAGTTATCTCTAGGGTTTGGTCTTCTCTTGTCTCTATTGCCATCAATCCTATATTGTCATCTCTTGAAGCTACAATTAAGGATGTTATGAACGACTGAGTCCTAATTCATACATGTTGAAAACAGATGGTTGCTACTAGAAGTAGATGAAAAATGATTTGAATTTGCATTTTGTGCCATGAAACATAGGAAAAATAATAGTTTTCATTAATTTAAAATTTATCATAAGGCGTAGCAACATTTTTCTTGCATTCATGTTGCTGCATTTGATTTATTGTGCTGAATGGTTTGATCCAAACTTCAAAAGTTTCAAACTAAGTTTGAAAATGATTTTAAAATAGAATTCAGAAAAGAAAAGGAAAAAAAGAGAAAAGGGATCTCTCTCTCCCTTCTCCTCTCTACTTTTGGCCTGGTGGCCCAGCCAGCCCGCCCTGCTCTCCCTTGGCCTCCATTCCTGCAAGCTCGAAGGCCCACTCGCGCTCACTCCCTCGCACAAGCCCATGAGGCCCTAGCCCAAGTGGTGAAGCAAGCGGCCTAGCTCCACAGCCGAAGCGCAGCAGCGCCTCCTCCCCACGCACAGCCACTGGCAGCCGAGCCCCGCACTCTAGCTCTGCCGCCAGCCTCTGACAGGTGGGTCCCACTTGTCAGCGTCCTCACCGTCTTCCTCGCGTCGTGCTCATGCCTGACTCAGCTGGGGAAGGAAATCCCCGCCGCCGCCCGAATCCTCTGTGATTTTGGCGTGCGTACCACGTCTAGACCCCTATAAAATGAAGCCATGTGTCCGCTCTGCCTCCCCATCAAACCCTAGAGCGTAGCACCGCCATCGCTCGAGCCACAGTGCCCCGTAACCCTAGCTGCCGCCGCCGCTTTCGATCTGGTCCACCGCCGCTTCACCGGCGACTAGAGCACCCTCCTGAGCTTCACAAGATGGTAAGTGGGCCGCTGGTACCGGCCGCACCCTCCTTCTCGCTCTCTGTCTCTCGCTTCGCGTCACCGGGGTTCCACCGATGAACCCGAGCCACCAAATCATGCCTAGCGTTGCTTCCATCCATCCGCTAGCTTCACCGATGCCCTAGATGGATCCGTTGTGCTCCGCTCTCCCTACCTGTGCACTCCGCTCGGCCAGTGACCGCCTAGAACGCTGTATCGGCGAGATTCTAGCAAGGTCGGGCCATCTCCGGGCATGGCACCGCAGTCTACGGCACTGTGCCAACGACATCAAGTCATGGAACCAGCCAGAGCCGTCCATCTCTTAACCAACGGCCTAGATTAGAAGATACCCCTTTGCTAGAGTTTTTGTTAAAGAGACCCTTGGCTTTTGAATATTTGAACCCATAGTCCTCCAATAGTTTAAAAAAACATGATTTTTATTTATTTTAATTCAAAAATAAGATCCACTTATTTATAGTTTTGCCACTATTTTCTTTAGGCCACAACTCCTACATTTTAGCTCTGTTTTGACCCGTTCCAGTTGCGTTAGATTCATAACGACATAATCTATGCGTTAGTAACAATGTTTACCATGTCGCTCACTCTAGAATTCATGGTTTAATTCCTATCTTGATTAATGATTATGCAACTAGAATTATAAATAAAATATGATTAGAATATATTGTTTTTGAAATTCAAATATAAAATGACTTAACTCAATTTAGATATTTCTCTAAAATATCTTATATAAGTTTTTTTATATATAGTTAAAATCAATGTAGCTAGTAGTTTTCTTTATCCCCTAAAAATAAATCTTAAGGCAGTCGTTTCTTTTGCATTGTAGCTCTGATTAGAGTGCTTTTCGCGTCTATGTATTCGTAGCAATGCATAGATTAGTTTTTAAACATTTTTATTGATTGGTGTACTATTCTAATTGAGTCATATTTGCATGTTATGCATGTCTGTTTGGACGCTTGTGTGGTGCTTTATGATCTTGTCTAGTCGGTGAACTTTATATGGTGATCAAGAAGTAATTCTTTGAAGATTTGGACTAGCAGAAGATATGAGTTTAAGGCAAGTATAGCATGGGATCATCCTTATTTCCTAATCACCTTTAATACACTTAATTCATGTGCATGTGTCTACTTTGTTACCCCTAAGGATATCCAGGCTTTTATATCTTGTACCTTGACACCAGGACATTGCATCGGGTAGTATGATGCTAGTGCTCTAATTCAATAACCATGAAATTATAACTTGACTAATGATATATGCAATAAATGTTAAAATATGCTTCTTAGCAACTTGGAATAAGGGGGTTAGAGCATTATTTTATGGTGCTTTAGATTCCTCTCCCTAAGGACTTATCTGTAAGTGATCACCCGGGACTTACAGTATAACCATGAGAGCTATGGTTTCGGCTTTGGCTTTAGCTAAGTAAACTGAGCTTTTCTAGCTCGTTAGTGGTTACCGAAAGGCGCAGGAGAGGCCTAGGTTGCAGAATGGCTTCTTGTCTCTTAGGGTGTGTATAGCTAGTGTGGAATGTGCCACTTTGTTAGAGGGGCTCCATTCGCCTAGCTACTAAAATCTAGCGGCTATTAACTTGTTAGATGGACTTTCGAAAGGCTTCATAGTGAACCCTGCTGACCTTCCTTGAAAGTGGGTCAAGAGATTAGCTACCTCGGGCGAAAGAGTAAATCACGACTCATGGTGAAAGTGTACACCTCTGTAGAGTGTAAAACTGGTATATCAGCCGTGCTCGCGGTCACGCGCGGCCTTGGAACTCTTACAGAATATATGATCATTAATGGATAATTAATTGTTTATGCTATTCATTAATCATGTTTACCTGATCATATGTTTATATGGGCTTAAGATAAATTTGATGCTACTCGATTGCTTAAAATTGTGACTCATAAAAGCTAACCGGAGTTAAACCAGTGTCAACCTTTTGAGCCACATGAACCCCGTGTTATATTGCTGAGTACGATATGTACTTACGCTCGCTTCACTTTTTAATACTTTGGAAAAAATCCGGATGTGTACCAGTCGGTTGACCCTGTGGATTTAGAGCCTTCGCCTGAGGATCGGAGTATTTTTCCGTTGTCTACTATCTAAGGTTGTATTCTTTATATTAATATGTTGTATATTAAGCATTGTCTATTGATTTTACCCCTTATTTGTAGCCATATGTGTGATTTGACTTCCTGGGCTCACATATGGTGTGTATCTGGTTTTGTGCTTCATCTCCCCGATCCCCATCACGAACCCTAGTGGTGCAGTGACGGCGATGAGATGACTCGACTAGGCGCAAGCGGCATTGATGCGCCACCTAGGTGGTGGCGAGCAACAACCGTCGTTGGTGACCCAACCAAGCCGCACCAAGTAGGATCCGCGGTGAGCTGGAGGGCGTGGTGGCAGAGAGAAAACGGGCTTGCTAGTGTTCGGACGTGTGAACGCCACGCGCTATAGTTATTTTTTTGCGTCATTTCGCGCGCCGACGTGGGGCCCGCATCGCCCCGAACGTCACCAGTATCGAGAAGAGAGGGAGGAGGCAGCGGATGCCTAGCCGTCGCCGGGAGGAGGAGGAGACACCGATGCAAGGCAGCAGAAGGCGAGGAGAGAGATGCAACACCCGATCTACTTTTGAAACATTCAGATGCAACACCTGCAACATACGTCGGAAGACAGATGAAACATTTAAAACATGCACTGCAAAAACACCTGAAGAACACTTAAAACCATTGCAAAAACATATGCAACATTTAGATAAAACACTTGCAAATATATGTGTGAAACATATGCAACATATGTCTAGAAAAAAGATGAAACATTGAGAACAAAAACTTACAACATACGTGTACAAAAATTGCAACATATATGTAACATCTCGATCTACTTTTGCAACACCCATATGAAACACTTGCAATATACCTCTGAAACATCTGAAACACTTGAAACAGATGCTTGAAACATGCTCTTTTAAGCGCAACATCTACTTGCTGCTTGGACAAAAATGGAGGCTCGTTGACGCCGACGTGGAGCTTGATGCTACGGAGTGGCGTGGAGGTCATCGGTGTAGAGCTCAGTGGTGGCACAGACCTCGGCAGGGGCCGCGGTAGGTGGATAGAGCGCGGCCGCAGCGAGAGGCGCAAGTCCGGGCGGGGGCAGGGGCAACATGGGCAGGGTCTGTACAGCGAGCATGGGTGACAAGGACGGGGGTGGCGCGGGCAGGGCCTGTCCGGACAGACGGACACCCTATCAGGAGCATTACCGATTGGAAAACGGTTCTACATACCGGACACTCCAACAGCCAATTACATAGTATAGTTGAACTTTGTACAAGGCACAAAGGCATATCCCATATCTTGTTACCAGAACTGCCAAATTACATATTAACATTACGAGAAATCAGGTTTGCAACATCGAATGCAACGGAATATATTGACCTCTCTGCTGGTGGAAGTCAGATATATCACCTTGGTGTGAAATACATGAGACAAAACTGGAAAATTGCACTGGTATACATAAGGGTACTCTATACTTAGTGTAGATTCACTTCCGGAGCGATATTGTCCAGATAAGGTCAGAATCCGAGGTGACGGTAACCTTGTCCTCTTCCACGATGTTTGACGTGCTGATCAATCCTCCATAGCTCATGCTGGTATTATCTGTATAGAGGAAATCACGTTGTAAACATCAACTTCTGCTGCTAAGCCTGTACCGTACTAGCTATGCAGGATAAGGACGAGGATAACCTAAATTCCATCGGAGCCCAGTGGTTGTGGTGCTAGTGGACGGCATGCCAATGGGGATCAATCCACAGTGGGGTCCCTCGATCAACCGTTCAATGTGAATCTCGTGGGTGTGTGTTCTTGGTAGCAGAAAGATCAGACAATCATCTGATAGGAGGACGATATTGATGCCCGGGAAGAGATGAAGAACATTGATGTTACCCATCTCGTGATCAAACCTTCCCCCAAGAGCTCCAAGGACCAGGATGCTGAGCTGCATTAAAAATTATGGAGATAAATTATTGTTCTTCCATACTATTTTAATTAAAATGTTATTGGACTGGATTGTCTTACGTTAGTTTTGTTAGTGGCAGGATAATTCTCAGCTATAAAAGCTATGCATTTGTGTAAATCTGTGGTGTCCTGATCATGTGACTCATCAACAATTCTGGTGCCCTGCAATTGATAATACAAGAGAATTACCATAACAAAAGGATCTTGTTTTCAGAAAGACCATGCATGAAGTCGAAAATCAAGACCCTAATGTACAGATTCAATTTCTTATGCAGTAAGACTGATCTATCAATACAAGAACCTCCGTGATACAATGATATAGATGCACCTTTCGGGGGACAGAAGAAACAAAATATGTCAAGGTCACAAGAATCATCAACCATTATTATATTATAAAGCAGATACTTATAATCGCAACCAGCTAGCTGCATATCTTACTAGATGCCACCAGCTATACTAAGTCAGAACAAAAAAGGATACTGTTATTTATCCTCTTTTGGATAAACCCTCATTTGATTGATACAGCTCCAAGACCATTGTTTTGTTCCCTCAACAAGGATTGGTACAAGGGAAATGCCAATTTGATCACCAAAACTAAAAGAGGCACTAGAGAAGTTAAAACTAGTGTATGACGTTGCTGTAGTTCTTATTACTACCTCCGTCCACAAAAGAATGCAATTATAGGATCCGCGTTGGTCAATCTAGCTCAAGTTTGACCAAGTTTATAGTAAATAGTATTAACATTTATGTGTCCAAATAAATTTATTATGAAAATATATTATATAACTAATCTAACGGTTCTTACCTTATATCATGAATGTTAGTACTTTTTATATAAATTTAGTCAAGTTCAAATGACTTAGACTTCTCGAAAAACAAGAATTGCATTCTTTCGTAGACGGAGGGAGTATCATGTAGTTGTAACGAGGACAGTTGTTTCCAATGAGCACGTAAACACATATTCTTTTATCAAGCACACTACCCACTAAGGGTGTTCGTAATCACACAAAACTGAGAGCCCAACAATCAAACATGGCATTATTTTCTAGCATGAAGAAAGTGTATAAACAAACCATAAATGACTGCAGTAATATCTACAGTGAAGAAATAGCATAATAGGACACGACATATCTTGGCAAATTTACTGAGGAAAAATTTTATCAGTTGGCATCCGACTATGCACCAAAAAATCTGGTTCAAACATTATAATTTATTCCATCCATGTATAGAGTTTTCAATTTAAAGCAGCTTACCAAGTTGGAATAATGTTCCTTCACTTCTGGTCTTACTGAGTCCATATCCCCTTCGATTACATCTGGCTTGTAACTGCATAAAGAAATAACAGAACTCAGTAATGGAAATAAAATTCCAATAACTAGGTGTTTAGAACCCACAACGGCAAATGCAATTTCGTGTAACTTTTAGCATTCTACCTTTACACAAGAAAAAGCTTCTCGTGGTTTAAGCATATTCCTTCATGATATAGCAGACAACTATTCCTAAGTGAATGCAGAAACCACTAGTAACAGCAAAGCAGCTCTTAATTCGCCAGTAAGCCGAGAAGTGGCTCCCAACGCCAGCACCAGCACCAGTATACACACTTGGTGGGACAACATGGATCATACAACTTCGACGGCGAGACGAGGTCTTCGCTCAATCATCATTCTCGTTTGTTGGGAGGTGTGGAAGAAAAGAAATGCAACTATGCAAGAATCTTCGAGCACAAGGAATCCGCGACAACGCGGCTTCTCCAGAAAATCAAGGATGAGGCGAGTCTATGGGCAATGGCAGGAGCAAAACACATTTCTAACTTATTTTTGCACGCTTGATGTAAGCTACTTCTGAGATGAGGGCTTTGGAGTTGTGGTTTTGTACATTTCTGTATATGATTGTACAGTGCCTTTCTTGGCTCCCTCTTTTTAATATAATAGGTAGCTCTCCTATCGGTATTTGCCGAGTACCAGTATTACTACTAGATTTTTTTTTGATAAAGTTACTACTAGAAAATAGAAAGTCCTTTATATTGGAAGATACGAGAAACCTTTAGGCACTACCGGAAACAACAGATTTGCCGAGTGCAAAAATGTTTGCTGAGTACATTCTATCGGGCACTCGACAAACAAGCTATTTGCCGAGTGCTGCAAAAAACACACTCGGCAAAAATAATGGCACTCAGCAAACAAACTCTTTGCCGAGTGCTGAAAAAAAACACTCGGCAAACTAAAAAAAACAATCGGCAAAATAATGGCACTTGGCAAACAAACTCTTTGCCGAGTGCTGGAAAAAAACACTCGGCAAACTAAGAGAAAACACTCGGCAAAACAGACACTCGGCAAAAAACCGCCACGTGGACATCCGTCAATTAGTGTGTCGGCCGTTAGGAGTTTGTCGAGTGTCCGTTAGTGGCACTCGGCAAAGAAATAAGTTTGCCGAGTGTTTTGTTTTTTGCACTTGACAAATAAATAAGTTTTTTTTTTTTTCTGGCCTTGAAACTTTTTCTGCTCTCTACATACAACATATGGTACTCCATGTTAAGATTTGGTATATTTCTAGATTTGTTTGCTATATTTAATTAATTTATTCCTTTTCAAGGAATTTTTTTGTACAAGTCAAATTTGAACTGCAAGTGATTCAAATAATAGAATAAAATGAGTATAAAAATGATATTCATGTTATTGAGTCCAGTGTGAGGCCTGACCCGGAAAATGAAAAGAAATTTTGAACATTTTGTTCAGGAACACACGACCACGAACGTATGGCCGAATGATTTTTAAATTCTAGAAAAAGCTAATATGGCAGGTTTGCCGAGTGCTAGGTTTACCGAGTTTCCGGTACTAGACACTCGGCAAAAAAGCCAACATTTGTACGTTCTGGGCCAGTTTTTACTGAGTGTCCAATATTTGACACTCGGTAAAGAAGGCAGGTTTACCGAGTGCCCAGGATTTGACACTCGACAAAGATGGCAGGTTTGCCGAGTGTCAGGTCCGGGACACTCGACAAACGTGCTGTGACCGTCTCCGTACCGTCGCGTTACTTTTTTTCGCCGAACGTCGGTTTCAGCTCACGGCAAAGTATTTGCCGAGTGCCCGGTAGAAAACACTCAGCAAAGAGACGTTTGCCGACACTGTAGATGCCGTATACTGTTTGCCGAGTGTTACACTCGGCAAAGCCTTTGCCGAGTATTTTGTGGACTTTACTGAGTGCCTATGGCACAAGGCAAAGTCACTGTTTCCGGTAGCGAGGCTTGTCCAGAATCAGATGCGCGCACAGCAGCAACAAGGCAACAACAGTAGAGCAGAGCAGGCAACGCGTTGGCAAAGCAGTCGCGGGCAGACTCGAGCAGAGATTGCATTCGGAAAATCATATTATGACCACATAAATAGGAGCCAGGCACACCCGGCACGACGTGATGCAACCGACAGATCGACACGCTAGGAACCAAGAATCTGCGGACGGGGATGCGTCGTGATTACCTCGCGCGAACCTCGTCGGGGTCCTGGCCGGGGAGCAGGGCCGGCATGCCGTCGAAGATGCGGTTGGCGCCGCCGTCCGCGCACACCCGCACCGCCGCTGATCCATTCGATACGGGCACGGAGACAGCGCGTCAGTCAGGGACGGCAGTGCCGCCGGTAGGAGACGCGGACGCGGAGCGAGTTCAGACAAGGGGGAGGGGAGGAGAGGGGAGCACAGCATCGGCGTGACGGCGTACCGCGGGACCAGAGGAGGGGCGCGAAGCGGGGCAGCGGCTGGTTGAGGACGACGAGCGCGACGGTGGCGTCGTCGAGATCGGGACCAGGCGCGGGAGAGGACGGTGGGGCCGAAGGGAGGAGGAACGCAGAGGAGTGGCGCATCGTCGGCCGCTGCGTCGGCGCCGTGGGAGCCATGGCACGCCGGGCGTCTGGTGTCAACTCAAGCTCGGGCCTTGAGGGTCGCACGCGGCGTGCTGGTGTGGCGTGATGGTTTGGTTGCCTGTTTTCTCATTGATGAGCCCCCGTTCACATCATGTTTTCTAGTCAGCCTCGCTGGCGATTGATTTGCATTTGCTCCACCACGTGGTCCAGGCCCGCTTGAAAAGATCAGGCATATTTGACTTTGACCAGGACAGAAATGAGTTATTATGCCCGCTAATTTGAGTTTCATTCTTCTTAATCAAAATATGTAAACCGCGACTAATAACTTTATATATTTTGATTATTAATAGTTACGACCATCTAGCTCAAAAAATGTCCCAGATCAAATGAATTTCTATGCAGGAAAAAATCATGCATTACCCCTCACCCCCAACCCCCAACACAAATTCTTCCTCGAACTCTAGACGTGTTAACAGTGTCTACATTTGTGTTCATATATCTCCCTCGTAATTCCACCAATCCTCTACTCCGCAACAACATTTTAGGCTACAACAACATTTAAATATTCTTTGGCAGAGCTCTGGCTCTAGTTTTTTGCGGCTCCTTGTAAGAAGCTCCGTCAATCGGTCATCTAAAAAATGACTCTTTACAAGGAGCCTAGAGGAGCATGAACTATTTTTTTTTACTAATACAAGGACCTGGTCACCTGGAGCCGGAAAAAAGTAACTTCTCTTGTCTCCTCATTATAGGCATACAAACTATTAGAAAACTACCATTAAAACCGTTTTTACCTAATATTTTTCAAAATGACTTTATCTCCACACCGGAGAAGCTACTCCACAAGAATAGTTAGAGTGAGACCCTTGCCAAATAGGACCTTAATTCACTATTGGATATATCAAATGGCATCATTTATCATATAAACTATGTTAGAAATATATAGTTTGCAATACAAGGACTTCAAGAAAATAAGTCATCACCGAAGAACATTACAAGGACGAGTTTGCGTGCTCTAGTTTAGTGTCAACAAAGAGAAGATTTGGAAAGTGCAGTATTTTATGCTTGATCATAATCATTATATTGTTAGTCCAAATAAGTCATACAAACTGAGGTTCCAAAGATGTTTTATACAGGCGAATATAAAGGTTAGGTAGATACAGGAAGCAAACTCAAGTGTATGGGTTCACAATGAATTTTATGGAGGAGACAAAGTGTGATTCACCCGTATGGATTGCAATACTGAGACGGGTCGCGAGCGTAGAAAGTACTTAGAAGCCAATGACACGCAAAACACTATTGGATACTTAAGAAATGAGCAATTAGAGATCCTGTATTTTTTATGCTATCCAGATAGGGTGTGTTTTGTTTGTGGACAAGGGTGGATTGGATATAGATATCCATGGATATCTGGATATGGATATCCATATTATCTGTTTGGTTGGGTGGATGAGACAAGCCATTTTTTTGTTTGGTTTGATGGATATGTGTCGGATGGGATGAGCCATTTTTTTGTTTGGTTGGATGGACAAGGATGGACAAGGGAGCTGCAATCACCACCTACCCAAACTGGTGAGGTTACCCCTTCAAACATGCACAACAGTTGCAACACATGTGCAAAATGCATGACATCTTGATAAGCACATGCATTGTCCGAATAGAAATTACACATGTAGATAATTAGCAGGTTTTAGAACTTCCTCACATTACATAAAAAATATATAATAACCCAAGAGTGCAATGTTTGATGGGTTACAAGCACGTCTGCTACAATATATATAGATTAACCCGCAGTGCATTGTCTATGGGGTACTAGCAAAAGAGCTATAGTAGTACTCGTGTGCAACAAGGCATAACAGTCATATCTTCAGTTTCTAGGGAAGTGCTCGGTAATGAACTTTGCAGCCCAGTTGAGCTTGTGAGATAACGACAGAGAACAAAAGGCTCTAGCTTTGCTTGGACGGTCAACAAGATGCTCATGGTGAAATGATAAATGGGCATACAGACCTTCAAGAAGTTCCTCGGGCATTCCAACCTTCTCTATAGCACAAGAGATTCTTTCCCCAACTTCTTTCATTGCTTGTATTAGTCCATCATCTTCCCTCTCCCTTTCAGCTATCTTTGCTCTTTTGTTAGGCCTAGTAACTGAAGACGTCGCTCCATCAGCAGCAGCAGCAACAACAGTTTCACCATCCCCACCATCTTCACCTTGTTCATTTTCACCAATTCCAGTAGCTAGAGGCTCATTTGATCCCTTTGCATACTTCCCTGTAGCCACAGTAGCACCAAAGATAGTGGCCATCTCACCATAGTACTCAATAGGCTTGTTGAAGAATTTCGCATCAGATTTATGATCCTTGCAATATATGGACAAACTATTATACCAACTAGAATGAAAACTGAAAGACAATATTGAAATAAAAATTATGGCAGCAAGGGTACCACAATATAGCTTGTATAATGCTCACGATCAAGAGAAATGACATAGTTGACTTCATCCCAAAGAGCACCACTCAAACTCCTGAGTTTGTTGATCCTCACATACTTTCTCTTCTTTGTTCTAAGATGGCTACTATTCTGCTCCCAGTCCTCTTGCACTTGAAATGGTCATTCAAAGCTTTGGCACAAGAGTTCAAATGGGTCTTCTTGAAACCTAATGATGTTTTACCATTAGCCACTACATTGGCAAGGTAAGTAAGCACGAAAGAAGACATTGCAGAAGGCCAAGTGACATGGCCACCACCCTCAACATGTTCCCCAGTAGCCTTAAATTCCATTTCCCTAGCACAATGCCATTCAAATTTAAACATCAGTTTGCAAAAAAAACAGCAAGCCATACATATGTCCAGCATGAAAAAAACAGCAAGCCATATACATATGTCCAGCACGAAAAAACAGCAATCCGTACACATGTCTTCATTATAGTAAAGGAAAATTTAGCAAGCCATACATATGTCCTTGTTACAACAAAATGAAAATTCAACAAGCCACACATGTCTTTATTACAATACAATGAAATTCAGCAAACCATAAATAATACAAATTATTCTTGTAAATAATTTTGGTGGTCTTGCCACAGCATTGGCAATTCCCTGCCTAAAATTAATCATATATTGATGCTCACTAGCTTGCCCACTTGATGAATCAGCATAGTTATGGTTTGGTATGTAATTTGTCTCTTGTATGATAAAATCATCAAACCCATCTTGTAGAACCCAGTTGTGCATAATGCAGCAAGCCACCACAATATCTACTTATGTTGAAAATGGAAAGAACGGGGTGGCATCATCAAGTATTTTGAATCTCCTCTTGAGGGACCCAAATGCTCGTTCTACCGTCACACAAAGAGCCGAGTGTCTAAGGTTGAACAATTCCTTCCCATTTCGCATAGGATTGTTCCCCCACCTATTCAAGTGATACCTCACAGCCCGAAAAGGTGGTAAAAAACAGGTTTGGCTCCATATCCCGCATCAACGAGATAGAATTTACCTAACATAAGAGGAAAATGTGGGTGATAGTGCTACTAACAAAATATGGCATGTCAAATTGAGGGTCAAAATTTATGGGCTGAATACCTTCAGGTACGTGAAGGCCATTTTCTTGTTCTAAAGCATCTCTCAACACAAGAGCATCATGTGTAGTCCCCTCCCAACCCGCCAAAACATATGTAAACCGAAGATTAAAATCTATGGTTGCCATTACATTTTGGATACAATGGGCCTTCCTACCACGAAAGGAAGGCTCCATATCTTTAGAAATAGAAGCTCGTACATGTGTGCCATCGATAGCTCCAATGCAATCCTATTTTTTAAGCAATACAACACATGAAACAAAGGGGACAACAAAAATTACCAAACTAAAATTTAGTTAGGGATGAAATTCACACCTTAAAGTAGGGATCCCACCTCGGGTTCCCTGTTATTTTGGTTGGGGTCTCCAGTGAAGGTGGCCTTATATATTCTGCTCTTAACTCACCCACCGCGTGAAGGACCAAGTGGAAATAACGACTAACAGTTTTACTAGATCTATCAAAATTAGTGGCCACTAATCTATTCCTAAGGTTGTGTCCCACTGTATTTAAAAACATTGCTACTTGTTCAACACACATATGTATAGTGTCTTCAAGTAAGCCACGATCTCTAAACAGTTGACAAAAACGGAAGAATGACTCTCTTCTAAGCCTAAGCATGTTAACACAGGTTATGTCATTCTTCCAAATTTTATTGTTCAGATAATCAATTCTCATTCTATCTCTTTCTTCCATTAGACCATACCTAACGCACTGTCTGCATTCACTCCTTTTCCTTTTCCTAGACCTAACAACAATTGCCATCATGGAAAGCAATATATGAGCTGCAGCTGCATAAATCAAGATCTCGGTCCTCTTGTCCATCAGCTAAACTAAAGGAAAGATCAAATCTAAACATAAAAAGACAATATTTACAGTCCAGATCTATGGATATCCAAAAGCAAGAATGCATCATCACTTGAATCAACTATCAATCCTATTTTCTATTCTCAGATTAACTAGATTTCTTTTTACCAAAGGATTAGGGAGGGGAATATTTCACACCTGCTTGCTCCCTGCTGTGCAAGAGGAAGCAAAGGAGGTGCCGTCAGGACCTGCTCCCTGCTGCTGCTATGAGAGGGAGGAGTGCCACGGCCGCCCGGACTAGCAGAAGAGGTGTGTCGCCGGGACCTGCTGCTGTTGTGCGAGCGGCGGAGATGCCCATGTGTGGCGGTGTTGGATCCCATCCGCTGCTCCCTACTGCTGCTCGTGCGACCGGCGGAGGAGATGTGCGGCGTGGAGCGTGCGGCAAGGCGAGGAGCGCCTCCCTGTGCAGAGAGCAGGAGTGGAGAGAGGAGTCTGGAGGAGAGCGGTGATAGTGAAGATAAGGATGGGAGGTGAGAAATATCTGCGCGCGCTCCCGCGCGTCCACGCTAACCGTGGATAACCTCGTCCGCTCGTTTTCTAGTGGCCACAGTATACATGATCTAAGGAGAATATACCGTGTTCTGGATATCCATGGCCAGCT